TTCCCGAGAACGAAAGCGAAACAATACCTTATTTTTCCCGAGACACGAAAGCGAAACAACACGTTATTTTACCACCAAAGGTTTGCTAATAGGCGAGAAAACCAACTTAAAATTTTTTCACCTGCAAGTTCAAGTTCCCCGGTAAATTCTCAGTTGGTGACGTCACAGATTTCAAGTTTTCTTTTTCGTATTTTGGCCACACGAAATGTTCTTAAACTTGGCATGTTGACTATTCCAGAAGACAATCATTATATTATTATTGTTGTTGGTGTTACTAATAAGGAACTATGCGTGGCTCCTAGTAGGTGCCGTTAAAGCCTATGACGTCAGGGCGGCCGAGTGCGGAAACTTCCCACACTTTCTCCCTCACCAACCGTCTGCACGCAGCAAACGCGACGTTTACAGCAAAGAGTTTGCCATAAGTACACTAGAGGGAAATCTGGCGCCAGTGTCTATGGAAGCTGCAACGCACGGCGCTTCAGCCAAGCACGAGAATGGATTTGCCTCACGTCTTCGTAATTTACGTTCCGTTCGGCTTCGCGTGGCTTAAAGCTGTTCTGTCACAAAACAACAATAGGCAATAGCTCATCGGTTACGCCTCACCACCTGAATCTTTTAAGGTTCGCTCTTTCCTTCGAAACAAAACCGAAACAGTGCATTAAACGAATGCCACAAGTGCGGCCCGCAAGTAGTACGAAGCCTACACATCATTTCCCTGCTCGCTGAACGATCGCAGCGGCCCCTTCTAGTTAATTTTAGAAAAAAAAAAAAAAAACTTCATGGTTTACAGCACTGGGAAAGAGTAAGTTACTAATCAGAGAGAGAGAGAGAAACTGTTTTCTCTTTTGGGTATTTTTGAGCTTTTTGGATGGTCGAGTTTCAAGAATGACGCCTTGTAGTTGCCTTGCTTCTACCGTTACTGCGATGCGTACGACGTACAATCACGGTGCGTTGTTTTTTTTTTTATTTTTTTCTCATTACCATAGCTGTTATGTAAGATGAGTGGAGTGTGTCGCCGTCAAAGAGCGCGCTATGCGGGGCGAAACAGTTAACGACAGCAGCTGCGTAGCTCCGGTGGCGTTGCGGTATCGAAAATCACCGAGGGTTTCGCGAAAACAAAGCATATTAAAAAAAAAAAGGTCGAATTGAGAGAAGAGCAGACATACCGCACCCGCATCTGACAAACAAAAAGAGAGCTTTTAATAACAGCACACGCACACGACAAGCAGTAAAGACTCCCTCCACTGCACTGTCCGTGTTGCGAAAATCATTGTGGGCCGTTGTCGATAACGGGCCCTGGCTGTAGATATGCGATATCAAAGCTTTCCCCCCAATTTGGCGATAAACTCGCGTATTACACGAACGTGCTACACGTACGCCCAGCACTCGAAGTGAATAGAGAGTTTTAGTACTGCGGAATGGTACGCATCACGCAAGCGCCTTGCGTTACGTGGCGTCGTTTGCTACTAGTCGGCTTTTAGTACCCCGTAGTACCCGCGTACGTAACGAGCGAGAAGCGTGTTGCGCCATCTGGTAGATCAAAATAGAAGCACGTGTTGCTGACAGCCAATGTGAGCCAATCCAAGTGTTACAGCCAGATTGTGGCCATATTTCAAGCCACAGAGCCGGTCGGTGCTTGCCTTCGATGCCGCCATTTTGCAAAACGAAGTCTCGCGCTGTCGCGAACTTGTTCGAGAGCGGCACGATCAGCTCATACGTACGCACGCACGCATCTCATGCGTGCGTATACGTAGCGGCTGCGTACGTAACGCGATACGTGCGCGTGGCGGTCTGCGCATGCGCACTACGCAGAACGTGGCGTCCTTACGTACGCAACGCCGCCACGTACGCAGCGTACGCAGTACTAAAACTCTCTAATAAACGGACCATAAGCAGAAACGACGCCGCGGGACAAAAGCATTTTCAAGCACGACTCCTGGGTGATTATCATCTGTACCGCCACGTCCATTCGTAGCAGAGTGACCTCGGCCACCCTCGTTACTCGCCGCCAATCATGTTCCGTTTCATCTGCAGCGATCCAGCACACTCTTGAATTCACTTTGCCGACCTCGAAAACACCGCCACAAACTCTCGGCATGGCGCAGTGTTTTGCCCCGTGAAGCTGCGCAAGCACTTTGAGCGTTCGGACAACAATTATGACTAGTCGCACGACATGGCGGAGGACGTCCAAGCGTGCTTGAAATACAAGCGATGCAGGCTTTCTTTACTTCCAAAACTAAACTGTACGGTTGCGTGGGGCGACCCCCTTCCCTCCGAAGGGAAATCAGGGCTCAAGGTCCCTACAAGTTGAGAATTTTTTTTTTTTGCGTGTGCTTCTGTTTTCCCCATCTAAGCTGACGATGATACGCACTAACCAGGAGACACTGTCAGCGACCTTGTAATAGAATTAAACTCTAAGCCACGCATACGCATGGCAATACGGATTGTGGTGGTGGTGAATCGGAAGAAACAGCCTCCTCCAATGAAGAACGCTTTAGAGCCTTGTGCCACAGTCGCTCATCGGCCATGAGACCGTTTTTTCAGGTTGTTATACATTTCCCGTCACTTTTTCGGAGCGAAGCTCCTTAAGGCGTGGGCTGTGCGTCCCCTGTATGTAGCCACCTCTCGTTCAGTTCTAAGTATTACGCTAGCCACCGCCCGATCTAAAGGGTACAGCCATATCCATCCATCCATCCATACATCCATCCGTCCGTCCATCCGCCCGTCCATCCGTCCAAAAGATGCAAGATGTTATAAACTAGACGGCGGTACGTGTAGTTGATTATGAAAGATGCTAGGTGTTATAAAATAGGAATGATGCCACATATGGCGCGTGTCATCGTTCGATATAGTGCGGCGACGTACGCTAGGGGGAGCGTTGCAATAAAATCGAGTGGGCAAAATGTACGGAGGATTCATGGTTTTACCTCCGGAGCTTCGCCCACTCATCATCATTCACTTCGTGGATATGGCGGCATTTTTTTGTAAAGCATTTTCTGGAAAAAATTTCAAGGCACTGAAATGAGAGGGGGGGGGGGGCAGTTAAATGCAAGAAATTATTAGTTGTTGAAATTTTACGCTTCCAAACCATGATATGAGGGACAACGTTGCGGAGGGCTCCGGGAATTCGGACCATTTCGTGCTGTTTGACAAGCACCTAAATTTAGCATATGGGCGTCTAGCAATTCGCCTCTATCCGAAATGTGGGGGTCAGGGCCGGGAAATTCGATCCCGCAGGTGAAGGAGCATAACCCCTAAACCACCAAGGCGAAACCACCTTTTGACCGAGATGTCCTAATAATAATAATTGAACTTCTAGACAGAAGATTCGTTCTTTCTGGGGGTTAAAAAGCACTGCGAGAACCGAGAGCTCGCAACGGTAGCAGTCTTAAACAGCGCTTGTTAAAATGAAAGAGTGGATAGAGGCGTCAGTGTCTTATCTAGATTATTTCGTAACTCTTTGACCTGCGTGTAGCAGGAAGCTAGAGTTTATTCAACGCCCCCTCCCGTTTTAGGTGCAAAAAGCTATGGCACAGGGCAGTCCATCCTTCCGGCGTAGCCAGCACAGCATATCCACACACAGCATGTGTTTTTTTTTTCTTGTTGATCGCGCCTTCTACACCGCACGCAGCCCTTCAACACGCACAACACCGGTGCTGTGTGTCCTTTCCAACTTTGCGGTCGAGCGCAGCGAGCTTCGCGAGGCAGCGGCAATCACGCGGAGAAAGTCATCGCGCAGCTAAACACTGATGCCCAAAAGCGATACTGCCCGCGATATGAACAGGCTACAACAGTCGGCTTAAATCGAGACGGAGGCCGAAAAAACGAGCGCACAACAACGCAGGGGACGAGCAGCTGGAGAGGGATCGCGAGAGATACGCGAAAGAAAGGGGTACAGAAAAGAGCGCCCCCTTTCTCAGACCAAGCCGCCCGCGCGCCTGTGGCGGCCTTCAATGGGAAAAGATTGGCGGCAGGAGCCAACCAAGCGAAACAAGCTTTGCACCCAGACCGACAAACGGCCTCCGCCAAGAGCCCGGCCCGTTTCGGTGCCCATGGAAATGCGCCCCGGCAAGATTCGGTCACGTGCCGCCGTCGCCAGGGCGGCTACCGCAGCGCGGGCCTTCCCAAAGTGAGCGCCCGAGTAGCACCGCTTGTTCAAGCCTTCACGACTCTGCAGTCAGCTTTAGGAAAGCTGTTGCAAGGTGGCGAAACGGGGGAGGGGGCACACATACGCGCGCGGGTTTGCCAACGTGCGACTAGGCATATTTCGTTCCATTCAACAAATGTCAATCTATCCGAGTACATACATAGGTGCTGCTCATAGAACCCTACGCGCCATACTCGTGTCAAGTGCGGCCTCGCCTGCTGTGCGCGACCCAACAGCGCGATTGTGCGAGGTCAGCTGACAAAGTCTCTCTCTCGAGGAGATTAAGGCACAAGGTAACTACAAAAAATGATGCGCTTGCGCGTGTTTATGCAAAAAAAAAAAAAAAGAACGCACGCCTCTGTCACTTCTCCCTGTCCTTTACTACTCCCTCATTCACAGACGACTGTTTCGGTAATCCCGCCGTTCTTGTAAGTATTCCCTTTGATACGCTTCCGAATCACACTTTCGGTACCTCACGTTCCGAACCGGCAGGGGAAAAGAAAAAATCGCGTTCGAAGTACCAAAACCACGATACGATAAAGGACCCTGTACACTACGAGACTCCCCGATTAACGATTCACCACCCCCTAGAGTTCACGTCCTTTTTGAATTTCACCTACACCGTGCTTCGCAGCAAAGCGACGCCATCGCTCTGTATATACGGGCAGTGCAAACATAAGCGACAATACTGTTTACACGTGATCAACCCAAACGTGCACAGGAAATCCACGAGAACACAAGCGGCGCTGCACACGTCGCCGCTCCGGAGCACGTGGTCGTTCAGCGCCAACTGACGTGACGCAAAGCTAAAGCGAAGGTCACACGTTGTGGAAAAAAAGGCCACAGAACTCACCGTCGTCGTCTTCGGACTTGGCCAGCGCATTCTTGCTGTAGAATATGTCGGCGTTCGGGTTCAGGCTTTGCGTGGTGGTCGCTGGTTTCGTCTGCTGGTCGTACATCCGGAGGCGACGGTGGCGGTTGACGGCACACACACCGCGCGAGGTGTCGGGAAGGAAGGAGGAGAAGAGAGAAAAAAAAAATCCGGAACAGTCAAGCACAACGAATGGCGGAAAGCACGGCTGCAAACAGAGCGACAAGCAGCGAAAAACTGCAACGACAGCTACACTAACAGCGCTCGACACAAAATGGCGAATGGTCAAACGTGGGTGACGATTCAACTGCTGTCAATATGCCTCTATCTAATCTTCACAACAGCACTACTAAGATTCACCCCCGGGTGCATTGCTTTTTTTTAACGGGGAAGGGGGGGGGGTGATTTCTATAACTGTTCCAGCCTCTTCAGCCGTGGCGCACTTTTTTTTTTTTCGGTCTTCGAAAAGCAACTGTTGCCCAGCCCCTCACTTTTCGCGCCTACTCTGGTCGAGAATCAGCACTGCAAGGAGCAAGCGCTGACAGTAACCCGTCATAATGCTCCCAGCACCCGTTACGGTACCACGACAGGAAATCAAAACTCTCACGTTTATTGATGAGCGACAATAGAGAGTGGCATGCCTCGCAGCGTAGTTCGGAAAACGCACGAATTTCCGCCAGCACGCGCTCTTTTAACTACAACGATACGATTGCGGTGACAAGAAGTCTGCCATCGATGACAAACCACGTCGTCACTGACCTTATCTCACAGCGCTTCATATCTAGGAAAACGAATTCGCCACGCCAGGAAGCCTCATATACGAAAGCTTCTTTTTTCAATTTAAAATCTTCTATTTGCAAGTATCTCCCCCAGAGAAATCCCTCTCCCACCCGGCAAGTGTATACGCACATTCCAACTAAAGGTCACTGGGCAGTGTGTCATCTACACTGCCTCCTCACACGTCAGTTCACTGAGACGAAGTAAAAAAAAAAAAAAAAACACCCTGGTTTCCTTGGTACTGACTTGGCGCCTTCGGGTAGATTTGCGCGGGATTATTGGTCAGCTGCCAGCTAGTAATGAGATCACGAGCTACCTGACGCCAACCGGCAGAAAGAAGAGTGTTCCACACACACCACAATGGCAACAGACGGCGCTGCTTGACGCTCCCACATTTAATGGCACATATGTACCCTATAAAAGTGGACGGAGGGTCGACTGCCACCGTAGCTCGGTGGTTGGGCCCCCGGACGCGTTATTCCAAGGTGGCAGGTTCGTTTCCTCCCCGCGGCAAGTTATGTTTTCGTTCCCTTTTCTTTCTTCGCAATTACTTCTAATAACATCCCCTATCCTTCTCTTGGCATCATCGTCTGTTAGTTATGAATCCCCCCACACGTACAGTGTAGGAGATTCTTACAGCTCTACGCCAGCAGATACACCATGAGAAAATAAATAAAAAAGCACGTTAAAACAGGCGCATGACTTCGATATCTTGCATCTTTACGAACCCGCCCAACTCGCCGCACTCATAAAAGAGGCGAACATTTTTTTTTTCCCCAAGGCCAACGGCCTTGTGAGTCGAAGCATTTCGAGCTCGTCTATCAACTTTCTCGAATCGGCGCATCACATCAAGTCGCCGCTGAGCGTTGACAGCTCCGACCTTGGAATATGGGTCACCCACCGAGAGCAGCGTAACCGAGGAAGCGCTGCTACGAGAACGAAGGTCGTTTGAGGCGGATTCACACGACGGACCGCGTGGCTCATCCGTTCCGGCAACGGTGCGAGACCCGCCGAGGTGGGCAGTGTTTTCGGTGCCGATGAGACACGCCACGCTGGCCAGGTGGATCGAATCGGCGATTCGATCCGTCCCGCGGGTCCACCTCGAGAGCTCGCTTGTTTTTGTTTACTTTAACCACTTGCCAAATGAGTGAAACATGAGCGCCGCCTTTTCGCAAGACGTCAAAGTTCAACGTTTGCCTGACCCCCCCCTCCCCGTCCCCATCCGCTCTAAACTTAAATATCAGTCCGGGAACGCAGGAAATTGGAACAATCGGTTTGTTTGTTTGCTCTAAGATAAGTACGCTTGGAACTGCATGAGTGACCCGTTATTTACAGCACTTTAGCAGTAGCGTTAACATGCAGACGGTGACAGATTAAAAACTAACATGCTACCCGAACGAGTCACGGCGGACTAAGATGCAAGCGCAACCAAATTAACTATCCCAGCCGTGTGCTCTCTAACGAGTGCTCATTCTAGTAAACTATGCCACATCCTGCCCCTCCCTCTTGTCGCGTTTTTCGCGTGACCTGGTGGTTAATTAAGCGCTGCTGCTGTCGAGTCGATACAACCGAGATGGGCATCAGCGCTGACGACTTCGAAGCCAGGTGAAACGCAATGCAGTTACGAAGCAGATAACACAAACGGCGAAGAAAAAGAATGCTATTGGACACCTATCGAGCTCGAGAGACAGACCGAAAAAATTAGACGCTCCTGCGACGAACGTGTAGAGTTTATGCCCCCCCCCCCATTCTCGAACGTCTTAAAATCCTCGAAACAGAAAAGAATAAAGCGCTTCAAGCGAAAGCGAACCACACGTAGCGCATTTCCCGCGCCACAGCAACACCTCGTAATGATCGAGGCGATGCGCCCGAAGGGCTCAGCAACGCCGGAAACTATACGGGCGAGATCTGAGGGGAGGCACACACGCAGACTCTTTTCGCGGGCGCGATCACCGAGTAACCATGACGACAAGAGAGACGGCAGACTTGAGCCTTCCCTCCGAATTAGGAGGTCTATTCCTCGCCGGCAGCTTTGCACGCCGAGCCGCGAGGAGGCTTGCGCGATATTACGCCCACAGCAGCATCTGACGCGCCAGCCCCCCTCCACGGGTCGACGCCCCGTACGGGTAACTAATCGGAAGCGTCGCATTACACTGCTTGGTCGCGCAAGCGACACGCGACGCGTGACGTGTTCGCGTAGTAATAATGATTGGATCGCGGTAGAAATAGAAGAGCTGCTAAAATAATAACAGAGCCATCTTTTTTTTTCTTCTTTTCACACAGCTACTCTACCACAAGACGAAGACCCTTTATCCGCATATAGCTCCAACTACCCTTCTTCACGAAAGCAGATAGCGCTCCCACAAAACATTACACCGCGAACACCAATCAGCGGCGTTGTATGATCGGCAAGATGCAGCAAGTGCTCTAGCGCATAATGAATGGCCTACTGCCACGCGAAACCTCGTTTTCATCAGAAGCTACAAACGCGCAGCCTTACCCAGCCGAATAGCAAGGCCCGTCTACAAACAAGCATCCCGTTTCCATACGTGGCGTGCAACGCCGCGCGAGTTGTGCACGAAGCTTGCCTGCCCCTCAAAAGTATCACCCCACGCGTGTCGAAATGCGACTCAAAGAACCTACACGCAACTTTTCTTCGACGAAGGCTTCACCCGGGTGCCACCAAAGTTTCCCCCTCTGCGCTGTTGCAAATACGCGCCACCCATAAAAAAAAAAATGCAGTGCCAAAATAATGGGGAGCACGTGGCGAAATTGCCGGCCGCGTCTTTTTTTGTGACGAGAGCACAACCCTGGCCACGCAATCAGCAGAGCAATGCTCTCGACAGCAGACTGTTTACCACTAGACTAGCCATAATAATACCTGGGCTTTCACGTCCCTAAACTAGGAAAAGGTGTTGAGCCACGCCGTAGAGGAGGGCTCCGGAAATTTCGACCATCTGGTGTTCTGTGACGAGCACTGACATCATGCACAGGCCTCAGCATTTGCACTCCGCCGAAATGAGACCGTGGTTGTCGCGAATAAACCAGCGACATTCGCGTCAGAACCACGTAACCGCTACACCGTCACGGCGAACCGCTCGCCACCATGATGATGTGTGGGGGTTTAACGTCCCAAAACCACCATATCATTATGAAAGACGCCGCAGTCGAAGGCTCCGGAAATTTAGACCACCTGGGGTTCTTTAACGTGCACCCAAATCTGAGCACACGGGCCTACAACATTTCCGCCTCCATCGGAAATGCCGCAGCCGGGATTCGATCCCACGTCGAGCGGGTCAGCAGCCGAGCACCTTAGCCACTAGACCACAGCGGCGGGGCGACTGGTCACCACTAGTAAAACGCTGATGGCAATTCAGCTACGTGCTCCCGCGCCGGATCCGTATCATTTCGTGGCGGCCTGTGCTCCCGTCCTAAAGTCCAGATAAGAGATGCTCCCTCTCGGACGGTTCGCGCCAGTGTTCATACGTAGTAACCGCAGAACGTCACTCATTCGTTAGGGGGAGCCCAAGTGGGCAAAAGCTCCACCAAATTGTCCAAGATAAATAAGGCACGCAACAAGTGCGCGAAGGCCTCCCGAGGTTCCGAGAGAGAAGCGTGAAACGACTCACAGGCAAAGAACGGTCAACGCTTGACAGCCCGCCTAATGAACGAGCTTAGCATTTGGCCCAAGTTGCGGATGCGAACCGCATCTCTCTCTCTCTCTCACACACACACACACACACACACACACACACACACACACACACACACACACACACACAGTCCATATTTAGTTAGGACTGAGGGATTTCAGGGGGAGCAGGAACAACATAGACGACATGGGGCGGAATCGCAGTGCACGCTTACTTCGCTTGTCAAACGAAAGGGAGCTTGGCGATAATCGCATTACAGGCGCGCCCCTCGCAGGTGAACTAATGCGATGGCGCTCAGAGTGGCCAAGCAAAGCTCCACGTTCTCGGAGCGCAGCTGTATACAACGGGACTGTAGTGAGGAGGGGGTACTTCGATTAATTATCTTACTACCCAGGGTGATCGCACGTTTATGCAGACCCGTGCAACGTTGGAATAATGCCGCCGCTGGCACTGATCAAACGCACGAGCACGGTACGAAGCGTGGCGCTGCCAGGTGCGCCAAAGGAAACACTTGAGGCAATAGCGGACCGAAGGTAGTCGGTCAGTAGGATCTGATGCATAACAATGACCCTAAACAGGCACGCACACCACGAAATTGACAAGCAAGCGCCTTAATAAGGCTTCGATTCAATACGCTTGCGGTTGA